AACGTAAATGAAGAAAGATTCATGTCCACTGGAAGGTCACTAAGAGCAAATATTCTTTTGTAAATCTGGAACAGATGCATGATGTCTCTTTCGCATCGTTTAAGGGGAGACATGTAACAAAGGTGACCAAAACATGGTCCGATGGCAGTTCCTATTTTGACTTGTATTTCCCTCGCCCGCGTTTGTTCAGGTGCACATTTGCCTTATTGTTGCATGTGTTTGTGACGGGAGAAACACCCGGCATCATCAATTATTACAAGGGATTAACAGGCATGTGCCTATAATATAATCGGAATCCAATATGGGTGTCTACTTTAATCAGGTATTTCTAATGATCATGGACGAGCATATAAGAACGAATAATACAACTGCAATGCACGCACAAGGTAATTAGACATAAAATAGTTTGTTCGATTGTAAATCACTTCAAATGACACTGTTTTGAACTAACACTACAGTGTTCTCCAACTTTCTCCTACACTAAGAGAGAGCATCTTCTGACAAATTGAAGAATAGTATCTAAAATGTATACACTCAGTAGAAAATGCTGATTTCTAATCATCTTTTGCAGATGAGTCGGATGCCTTGATGGAAATGAGATATTTCGACTCAGCGGTGTATCGGAGATCCTGTGATGTTCAACATATTGTGTTTAATTGGCAATGCTAATACCTATATTTAATGATACTGTACATAGGAAATGTGATGTACTTCTATCAATAGTTTGATATGATAGATGTGATATGATAAGTGTTACATGTAGCTTCATACATCGGCTACTTGACCTCGATTAGCAAGAGAATACCAAATACGGCATTGAGCACAATACAGGAGACACTGCACATCGAAATATAGTAACGTACAACTGAAATAGACATAGATTAAGTTCGATCTATTGCGCATCTGGCGCTGAATGTACATTGTGTCTAGACTACGTGGAGAACAGTGACAGCCAGCTGATATTTATCACATATTACTTACAATTAATTCCCACTTGATTACTGTTGGATCCTATCACGTGGATTATTCTTTTACAAAGATACCAAATCAGCATGACGTGACGAGTTCATTTAATAAAGGCATTCATCCAGAAAACCCACCTCATTGTCTAGAATATACCCACTGATAGTGGTAGTGTTGCAAGCTTCATTATGGCAATGACTGAGAGAGTCCGCGAGGATTTATTACTCATTTGCTCTGAATGAACGGCAACAGTGATGAGATAGTTCTTAAAGGTTCCTTTCTATAACGTTAAGGAGACGACCAGTCCTACTATCATGGTATGATCCAAGTAAGTCAAGATTTCATGATTCACCTGTCAATTTCAAAAAGAAGTTCAATGAGTGATTGGGTGCACTCAGAAACCAAAGAGAAAGAATGTAAATTGTTTACTCATATTGAATACAACATGAATTCACTACTACAGAGCACATAGTAATGTTCTGTCATCCAATGACAAAGTGGGGGCCAACAGTGTTGAATAGTGTTTCAGTTCATGTTTCAATAGGGGAGGAAAGCATAGTGAGGCGTGTATTTGCACATTGCTTTACGCCGCACAAGCACTACACGAGCTTTATAACGGCGCATGTATATAATCCAGTCTGGACAAAACAATTCAATGATCGATATTGTGGGCAACATTCGGATACACTCCATCAACCAGGTGACTGACCTTATCCAAAGGGTCGTTTCTTACAAACAACTTATAGTGTTTGTTCTCACCCGCATGCTCCACGGGAATGTACCTGTCAAAGCGTTTGTCGAAGGTGAACTAGCTCAGAACGAAGACGAAGAATACGTCCAAACAAAGACTTGGAGCTTTGAGTCCATGTATACACAGACGACCTCCCTTCACGGTTCGTTTGAGCGTTTAATGCACTATAATTAACAAATACAATGAACATACAATGAGGGGAGTTTCCGGCTGAGACAGAAATGAGGTGAGGGACTTCCAACTCAGCCTTGGGTCGTTTACAACGATCGGCACATCCTGCTCGTGCTCGCGCTCTTCCTTACACAAGGCAGTCGCTATACCAGACTCACTGACAGTATAGACGTCAACATGTATATAGTAACAGGAAACAATGGACAGGCGAAGGGAAAACAATGGACAGAAGACGAGACAATTACATTACCCGGACATGGGGCATCATGATGTGATGGCCGACGTATTGGGATAATCCATTAAGGATATTCGATTCCGTTATTACCTTTATCTGTACCGAAAATTGGAATATCAAATAGCGATATTGGTATAGGTTTGTTTTTTGAAAAGATGGTGACAATGGAATTATAAAGGAGGATGTACAATTACTGCCCACTAATGAACTATGAATGTCATGGTATGAATCGTTATGTAAACAATTGCTAGATCACAGCATGTGAAACAGACAGGATTTCCTTAACAATACATGACTCTAAGTTGTACAAAAGTAAAGTGAGTGAGTTTGATTTTACGCCGCTTTTTAGCAATATTCCAGCAATATCGGCGGGGGGACACCAGAAATGGGCTTCACACATTTTACCCATGTGGGGAATCGAACCCGGGCCTTCGGCGGGACGAGCGAACGCTTTACCCACTAGGCTACCCGACCGCCCCACAAAAGTAAAGCGTCCAAATGGTATAATTCATAACATTACTACGTTGTCAAGACAGAGTGGTATTAATTCCCTCTGCGACAAAACGTACATTAAACCCCTGAGTATTGGTATTATTCTGACACAGAAAAGAGCATAACAGTTGCCAGTCTAAGACAATAACTCATGAACAGCGGATCCTTGCACCCATTGGGGGCACAAATGTGCCTAACTATACCATCATATGCTATAGATATATTGCACTGTATTATGTACATTGTGTTCAAGTGTTCATTATATAATGTTGCAATACAATGGTAATATTGAGGTCATTGTTACATTTAAGAACTCTATACGTCATTTACATTAGGTGTAAACAAGCGTTCCTTTCTCAAATGGTACTGTACAATATGAAAATGGTGGAGTTACGTTATTAAGAAAATACTGTTTTTGTCTATGTTTTGTCCTGGGAGAAGATTCAGTTCACGTCCCAGATCAACTTGAGCATGACCGCGGCTCGACATACCCTTCCCTGTGGCACTTATTGCTTAATCACACTGTCTCGTATTTCGGTCTTATTTTGAATTCCATTATTTTCTCATCAGCAGTCCGATATGACCCCTGATTTGACCTTCATACAGCCAACCACGATGGATTGTCCTCCGCGCCAAATAACCGTCAACACGTTTCTACTTCTCACAGGATTTGACAACACAGTATTGGAAACCTCATTCTGGTGTTTCATTTCACGTGTATTCGATACTCATTTCAGGAGAGACAAACTGCCCTTTTTGACATATCTACTGAAAATAATATGTAGTTCTGGGCTGATGCTGAAATTAGTTCTTTGTTGATGCTGAATTTCCAGCAGAATTTAAATCCTTTTTCTTGCAAACCAGAAAGCACGATTAACTGAATTCCGAGAAAAGTGTCAGACCGTGTACCATCATTGTACGTAGACACAGGGCAATGCAGTTCATTACACATGCGAGAGGATCAATAGTAAATCTGATCAGTCGTGAGACACAACTCGCATAGAGTTTAAAGAACTGCTTCAGGGAGGTATTATGCTGCTGTAGGGACACTCCTCAAGGTACCGTTACGAATATCAATTAGTTCATCAACGTACTCCAGGCTGCGCCTCGTCTGAAGGTAGTAGGTGGTTTCTTAATCAGGAGATACTTCCCCTAATTCAAACCATTTACATTTGAACGCCCATAACAATAAAATATAATGACCACACGTTGGGCACTTGGCCAAGTACTTCACTTCAAATCAAAGGAGAAAAAGACACGTGTTTGATCCACGTCCGTGTTTTATTGATATTCTAAGGGATGCATGACAGAATCTTGAGATAGCCCAACAGGGGGAGTTTTATGGAATTCCCGGTCAAATGTCAGAATTATCTTTAGGAGTGTTGTACTTACTCTGCAATGAGTGTTTTCAAATATCACGAAGGTTTTGTAATTAGGAAACAACCTGATTCATCATGCTTCAATCCTTCACTCTCTATCAGCTCGATCAATGGCTTGATGACATTGTTATAACTCCCTTGTGTTTTATAAGCTTTGCCTACCATGGTAACCAAGAGGCCTATTCTCAACGTTACGACGAGTATCGCCGACTTTCCCAATCGTTAATATGGGGCGACCCATGGCGGAAAGAAGATGAAAAAATGATCCTGTTCGATAGATCAATGCTCGTTATCGGATAAATCTATACACGATATCACACACCAAAATATAATCTGTGTAACGTTGCATCAGTTCAAACCATACTCCATCACGTACTACTGTGAAAAACACGACAAAATGGCGTGAAATGGTTATCAATGTTTGTTCTATGATAACGAAATATGTAAACTTTGTAGTTGACGGGGTACATGTACCTTTCTTGACACAAATCATCATATTGCAATATTACTCAGTTCACAAAACATCATTTTATCAACGACTCACACACGTCACAGGGTACCGCCCCTTACCTGCTAATAATAATTACAATAGGCTGTACCTTATGAACAAACCTTATTCTAAATATTCATATGCTTAAGTAACAGGCTCATTGCCCTAACAGTATCAGACTGACTGACTGACTGAGTTTGGTTTTACGCCGCTTTTAGCAATATTCCAGCAACATCACGGCGGGGGACACCAGAAATGGGCTTCACACATTGTACCCCTGTTGGGATTCGAGCCCGGGTCTTCGGCGTGACGAGCCAACGCTTTAACCATTAGGCTACCCCACCGCCCCAACAGTATCAGAAGAACACAGATATGACAAAGATTATAAGTGGTCATGTGAAAAAAACATTAACTACAACTCCTGGAAATAAACAATAAATACATTTTCCACTGAAACGTACATCGATCAGGTTGGATCTATTCCAAATATAGTGTAGAAAGAACATGAAAACAACTCACCTGCCCACAGACATACGGTCATGAAGAGGGTGGCGGACGCTTGAGAAACAGAATCTAACATTGTAATCCAAAGACGGCACTTTTATAAACAGAAAAGAAATCATCCAGAAAATCAGCTTGGCTGTTTAAAACACATCACTGGCAAGCCTTCATTACATTTTCCTCGATTTCCTGAATGCATAGACAGTAGCGTAATTAGTTGCAAGGCAAGGGTGAGGAGTGTTGATTCACTGCCCAGTCGTCCCCCGCGGTACAATGATCCGTGATGATAATGGCAGAACGGTGTAACACACAAACTCAAAGATCACTGGGGGTTTGGTACGGCCACAGACACACGTAATGAAGATCAGCTCCTTTGACATCTGTACAAGTATACAGGGGTAGGCTAGCACAAACTAAGTAGACCGCTGGCTTTAAAATCTCTTAGGTACGATTTAAATTACCAGTTTGACGATTTCCGATAATGGATTATTCTTGCTTAACGGATGTCCATTTTAAATTATCGATACTATGGGTGATTATTCATTCCTGCTGCTTCACACTTGATTCACATTTGCCTGCAATGAAACTGTCCACTCCCTGGCATCTACCATTAAGTTGTACGTAATTATCCCGTACTGGTGATGTAGCATAAGATAGAAGGGACAATGTACATCCATTTACATACAATTGACCACTGCTGATGAGGCATATGTGGAATAGCTTGTACTCGGAATGGCTTTCCGGACTGGTCAAGTGGTCACCTAAGAGTTCTCATACATCAAGGCTGTCACAAGTCTTGTTCTTGGGCTCCAAACACCTTCTCTGACGCATTCAGATAATCACCGAGTGATTAAACCACCATCGACGATACAAACTGCACCGGTGTATATAAAACCGGCCTCTTGAATCCTTATACCACTTTTTAAGTGTACGTGTTGGTACTATATATCCTTCTTTTATTGAGACAGAACATGTAGAGTATTCTCACACATCCTTTCGCAAATGTCCCTTAGGAGGGGAATCCTATTAGGAAAACGTGAAAATCCATCTTCGTGCCAAATCCATTTCCTTAAACAAGACCTGCTTGTTTTTATAGCAAATAAGAAAAGAGGAAAAGCAAAACTGCAAACAAATATCACACACGCCACGAGATCCAGTCGTAAACGACAAAGTCCTACAATACACTATCCTGAAAACTTGGCAACAATCGGCTTATGTAATTTAGGGGACTGTTGTCAATTGATGTGTTGTATTCTGCAGTATATCAACGTTCTCAGCCGATGGTGTTTTTATTGCAAGAAAACTATAAATACCCGAATTGGTTTTCGCAATGTAGAATACTGAGCATTGCATCTAGCATTTTATGTTCATATTTGTTGTACCGTAAATGGGACAGAAATAATCACAGAATGCCTCTTATCAAGGATCAGGATTCCGATCACATTTAGTATGCACAAACACGACACAAAAGCTATGTGAAATACATTAATCTGTGGCTCTTATTTCAAGCTGACATGCCTTCCCAGTGAAGAAAATTTATGTCTAATTGAAATTTTCCAATTCACCTTAATATCAGTTATGATTGCATTGAGTCATCACATATATGACCTTACTGTCAGTCTGCAATTCAGCCTCGAGATACCAAATGTTTTCAGTAATTACAAAACCCAAGAAAGAACGTTTAATTAAATTCAAAACAACCACAATAGCAGACAAGCAGTCTTCTAATACGATAAATCACCATTGGGCTGGTAAACTGAGAGCAAAGATTTTGATCGTGTCGGTAACTCATTGACTCCTGCCCTAGCTCACAAATTTATAGGACCCTGCACTTCACCAGAAAATGTCGATCGACAAATTCACCCGTTCTATTGGTTCGTAATATCCTGCTACCAGGATTCAAAGAACTTGCGCATGTATACAACTGCAGTGACAAACCCGTCTCGATTGTAGATTATTGATCTACTCACAACATACTAAGGCATCCATGCTTTCCATGAAAAGCTTCCACGGGGGATGTGTGTAAAATAGCGTTCCGTTCTGGACGTTTGCGCCTGTAAATGAACTATTTCCTTGCAAAGAAGCCTCTTGATATAACAATACCAGCGTATTCCTTTAGATTCGGGCACAGTTTATCCAACAGAGCCGTGCTTCCCGTTTGTTTTCAAGCATCCATTTAGCACCGTCTCTTTATCTAGCGTCGTCTTTTTGTTCTGCCTTTGCAAAGAGAGGAATATCATTCCGTTATGTTTCTCACCGGGAAAATGCGGAGTCACGCATAGCGTAATTCCACAGCATCTGTAATCCGATGGTTTAGCATGGGCTTCCCTTAGTGCACATCTCCTATCGAACTTTATCAATTTAAAGGGAGCACACACCAACGATTCCAGGCGATCAATTTCTCCTGGGGTCTTGTTAGATGTATCCAAAACACTAGAAGGCTCTATCCTTGGCGATTGTACCAAATCCAATAAACTGAGTAAGAACTCAATCGAATTCAGCCAGATTTTTCATCAATTACCAAAGACAAAAGTCTGATCTTCAGATGATCGAATGGAATAAAACACAGCTGCAAACAATGAAATACTGTTCCAGCGGTATTAAAAACTCCAAACAGGTCAATATAGGAATTTTGATTTTCTCCAAGACTGATTCTTTGATTGCAACTGTCTCCTACGCTGCTTTACCAGGGAATAATGAGACAGAAATACACTTAGAGGATTTTAGATTTGAAAACCTGAAACCACTCTTAGTGAAAAGAATCGAAGACATTACACAACTCCTGCGGTGCCTTATTTCGATTTTCTACCCCAATAACTTAGTGCTTCATACACAAGCTCCAGTGACTTTGAATTTATAATTAATTAATAAAAAGTATATCCTATTCACGAACGTAATCCCGTTTGATCAACCTCCTGAAGAAAAAGCACAATCACAGCTGTAGAGGAGTATCCACAGAAGATCAATTTATATCAGCGCCGATTGATTCCCAATAGCAAGACTGGCATTTCAGGATTCACACATGAACTCTCCATGCGTTAAACATTATTAAGAGGTTAAATCACAAGTGCCTCACTTAATGAAGACATTCCACTCAAGATAACCTTAGTCCACAGGTATCCAGAAAAGGTATTTGCACCCTGTAGGGGAGATTGACTATTCCTCACATGAATTGTCCCATCTATAACCAGGGCTGGAACAACTTATCCTGCATCCTAAGTCCACTCCTTAGGGGTAAGGCTACTCAAGGAGCTGAGGAAAGAGACCGGAATCTCCTTTGACCGGAATCGGGAAAAAATATCCGTTGATTCCCGTCACTTTTTTCCGCTTTGATGTGTATCTTGGACCACTCGCAGCAAATTCGTCCGCCACTTTTTTCCCCCGTTTTACATCTGCGCACTGTGATTCATTTGCCGCTTCGAGCTATATGATATATTACTTAATGTTTACCGCCCCCCTCCTCAGCTGCAGTGCCACCAAACATTAACTCCCCGCCCAGTAATCACATGCTGGCATCAAGACTGCGGCTATGTGACTTGCACCAACTGGCGGCGTATGGCTACTACCACAGCAGCAGTACCGCTAATCGAGTCCCCAGGCCTATGTTCAGCGCCTGCCGAACTGCCAGCATGCATACCACCTCCGCTATGTCCGAAGTGTATCCTATCGCGACAAGCTCATCCTTCCACTAACCCAGCCCAGACCCACACCGTAATTACCGCCACGTGGATGTATCACAATATCAGGCTGTAAGTACCAGTGTCGGAGCGCCACGGGAAGAAGATGTAATACACGGTTTATGTCTGTATATCCATCCAAAGGATCCGAGTTGTTCTCGTCTATTATATTCTAGTAGTAATGTATGTCACCACTTTAACTGTCAAATAGCCATTACCGGTTTCTTCACCTACTAACAAACACACAACAAGTGAAAATATTCTTTAGCTATTTTCTTTGGCTTAAACATGTTTATGTTTTGTCTGACTAGGCAACACTCATGCCTGTCTATGTTTTGAAGCTTCTCTTTTCCTTTCGTGCTTCAAGTCGATCGACAGCCGTTTGCGTACAGGGGAATTCTACCTATATTTGCTTGGAGAAATAAGTACCAAAGCCGAATATGGCTGTAACGGTTTTGAGTCGTAATAACTAGGTGGATGAAAGATGATCCGAATAAGCTCATCCATAAACATTAAATGCCTGTATTAACACCAGATGAGACTTGTAATGATGTACGCATAGAAGAAAACAAAGGCCTCCGCTAGCTGTAACGTTGGGATCAGATGCAGTTTAATGTTGAGTTTAAATCAATACTGCTTACCATCCATCACTTCTTATTCCCAGCTAAAAGAGTGATCATAGATAATATGTTCCTGTGTCCGGCAGGACAAGTAGACATTACACAATTTAGATTTATCTTAGCAGGAACTGTCAAAGGACATTTATCGTAAGATATCCTGGCAACAATCATCATTCCAAGTCGATAAAAGAACACGTGGCAATCATTGACAGGAGTAAAAGTAAAACTAGTTCTTCATAATACCAGAGGTGAGCTGAGTACAAGATCGTCGCTAGTTTTGTTGTCATTTTGAATGTATTCCTTTGATCTGGGAATAAAAGAAATAGAATAAATATATAATAGAATATATGAAAAACATATATTTTTTTAAATGATAGCATTTGAAATTAATTCCAAAAAGGAAATATAATTCAAAAACTTTTTACCCCGAGATTGTATGTAACCTGTTTACCAGTGCATGGCATATTGCATTGTTGAGTGTTTATCTGAGACTGTACAACAGGTACACTCATTGTACGATGATGTACATATACCCTGTTAACGTTTCTGGTCAACGGCTTAGACCTAAAATGCAGTTTCCATGCACGGCTAAATTGATATTATAAGCGAATACTAATTATGATAATGGTATTGTTGATGGAGAGAAAAGGAAGTAGACGATACAGAAAATATTAACATGAAAATGATAAAAAGGAAATCCATTAAGAAAACTGAACTGAATAATGGATGATGACTGCGGGAAAATGGCGGTCCGGATATCCTCTAAGCAGCTCAAATGATTCAGTACGCGTAGATGCAGTTAGAAACGCGTTAAATATAGGTTGCAGTATCAGTCGGTCGAGAGAAAATCGTCTCCATACTATTCCACACTAATTTAAAAAAGACATCAATCTGTATAACAAAGCTAATACAGGCGATCGTGTTTATCTTAATATGGCAACCTTTCCTCTATATACAAATTATACTGTCTAGAGTAGATAATTAGTACTACTGTTACAAAGTTTAGGATTAAATATTTAAATGTCAAAATATGGATTTATGGGCATGGCTGAATTTCAAATGGTAAGCTCTGATATACTATCTCGAGATAATGTTACTGACTCTGCCATTCCTTAGTAGTTGAATGTTGTCGTTCGGCACATTCAGTAATGTGATAAATATATAGCTACATACAAAACAAATAGATAAAAAAAGTTTATATTGCCAGGTTACCAAGACTCCCATACATCAACCTGTGTCATTGGCGTACGTAGACACCCTCTTACACCTATCTACATCTCCCTGCACCACCAGCCCCCCCCCCCTCTCTCTCTCTCTCTCTCTCTCTCTCTCTCTCTCTCTCTCTCTCTCTCTCTCTCTCTCTCTCTCTCTCTCTCTCTCTCTCTCTCTCTCTCTCTCTCTCTCTCTCTCTCTCTCTCTCTCTCTCCGTCGTTAATGAACTGGCGGTAATGCCCGAACCATTAATGATCACAAGAGTTTGCTGGGGTATAGGTTGAGGTAGGGGACTTGTGGGGGGTTGGGATTAGGGTCGGGGAGGGTAATGTGTATAGAAACTAAAGACTCATCTTTGGGCATCTCCACACTACCGTTCTAGCTGGTTGGTTATTCCGTATAACTTCGAATGATGTTGTTTATATGAAATAGATTATAATAATGTACGCGGGGAATTCTGGGCTTCACATTATTTAATAGCTGATTGTATCGCTTCGAATGATGCTATCAATCACTTTGAGTTAAGGTACGTGTACACAATTGTGCCATGTGGTTATATTTTCATAATTTTCATTTACATAATCATGAACAATTTGTAACATAACAATGATCTTTTAGTGAACGCAAGCAGCTGGTTGTTCCACATGAAAAATCTGTCTACACACAATGAACATTTCACATCCGTCCTTTGGAGCGCCAAACACACTATAAAGAATTTAGAATTATGAATTTCACACATCCACTGCACGTAACAACTTGCCTCAGTTACATATGAGACAATATAGATATACATGTGTGAACGGCCTCAAATGGACTATTGGACTACTACACTACAATATTGATTTCCTATATTAATAGAACGACACAATACTCTTTCAAAGTCGTATGCACCTAACCTCCATTATTTACTACGGTCAGTCATAAAACAGCCACCAGCAAGGACAAATATATTTTCTGATCTGAGAGCCATTGTTCCTGTTCCTGTTCCTAATTAGCCCATCCATCCTACTCCTGGTGTGTGGAAAGCATTTATCTTATCGCCTGATCAACAACATAAACAGGAGACCAATTACACGAGTGCCACACAAATAACACGCCAGCCTATACAGAAAGTAGTGTGGTCATCCAAGCAAGTAATAACCTTTGTCTGAACGTAAGTCTCCATATTGATCTCTCTTGTTCTCGCTCAGACAGAACCGTTACATATCCAGCCCCGAAACGTACACGATATGTGAACGATATAAACGTACGAATGGTACAAGCATGACTGGACCGATACGGGTATGCGCATTGTATCATACACAGCGTACGTTTTAATTGTACATCATGTTTTTGGTATTCCGTGTCAGAATTGGTTCGCAGCAGTCTGTGGTTGTAAATGTCGATTTAATTGACTGGTGTCAGGATCACTGATTGCGTGTCATCGTATCCCGACTGAGTGGATCGTGGAATGCTCATAATATCCATCACTTGTTTAATGTTTGTCACCACAAGTTATTCCGTATGATGTAAGGGAAATCCGACTGACATGTGGTTATGATTACACAAAGCCATTTAGAATGTGGTCAAATGCAACATATGCTATATTTGGCATTACACTTTCTTAGTACAATACAAATTCTAGGACATATGGTTGTTTTACATCACTTGGAACTATGATAAAAATGTTTTATAACGTGGATGACATCTCGACTTCTGAATATCTTAATTATTTTTCTGTTATTTTTGTTTCAGCTCAATAGGCATTCTATTTTTAGACTCAAGTTAAGGATGTGCAACGCACAACCAGTAGGTACTGTTAACGTTCAACCATTAGACCAAAAATATAGTATCCAACCAATTAAGGATATTCAAACTAATGTCAATGATAAGTATACGTCTTCACGACAGGAATGTTCTTGACATCATCGTACACATAGGATATGTGTAACACGGATGACTGCCTACGAAACCTACCTACTGCAAAGAGTTTTGAAGATGACCAGTACAAAAATTCCCTGAGATTTCAATGTTTAGAAACTGAAATGACAATTTCTTAAGTACTTAACATTTGGTAAGTGCATATCTCATCTATCATTAACATTACATGTCTACTTAATATAATTGCAAAGTACTGAGGATACTCTAAAAGATACTGTTTCTGTCGCGTCAGCAATTGTTAAATGCAAGGGTAAACAAAACCCAGAACGTATTAATGATTAGTACCTAAGCCTAATTTTCAGTCTTTACCGTACAAGCACATAAATACAAATGGAGAAACTACTACTACAAAGAATAATGGCTCCAGCAGATGACTGGCCCAAAGGAATGGTACCAAACATTAGTCACTGAAGCGTAAAGTGCCCGATTTATGGGATTTTTATTTTCCAAATCGAAGACGCATCTTGGAAGCAGATGATGTAATCAATAACTGCTGAAGAAAATCTCCTGTGAGATTTTTTCAAATTAGATTCAAATGAATTACTTCTGTAGTGCAATTCACGAGACTTAAATGTAGTACGCTACTTTCACTCAATACCACTTACTAAGTGGTCTTATGTATACATGAGGTTTCGGGATGTTTCATCAACAGCTGGCACGATACCAAATACTGTACGCTTGTTTGAAAGAATTATGATACAATGCATTCAATCGTGAGTCACGTCATGATCATGGTGATGGTGACAAATAATGATATGCAGGTGTGCTAGTGATATATCGGCAAGTCATATATTATTAAGATAGTGTTCTGTGACGGTGCTAGTTAATGGGCGTGCCCAAATACGTGCCTTTTTACAGGGCGCAAAAAGAAACATTGACGGTACACGCTTGAGTAGGAGTACAAATAGAGCCATGTTTGAATACACCTTAATACAAATTTGTTGATTGTGTTGCATCTTGCAGGATGAGCATCCATGGAAATATGTTTTAAGAGGTGCAAACAGAATGTTTGTACATACGATTTTCATGTGTTTAACAGTACTTCAATGCTTACTTGCGTTAAACGGTATGGATGTTTTTGTCTCAATTCCATCAGTGAACAAGTTGATCTAGTGTTGTGTCCCAAGTACTTCGTGGTTGGCAGGTCACACGTTAGAAGTACGGGTCCCTTTGTGTGACGTACTTGGTTAAACTTCAGATCGCAGATGTATTTGCAAAGGGCACAATGACATGGC